GACTTCATTCCAGGGAGGAGAAGGGGAGGGAGTTAATGGCAGGGAGGGGGGAAACCTTCCTCTCAAGTGTGCTCATAGTTTCCCTCCTCTAACACGAACAGGTTAACAAGAAGAGCATTTGAATGTTTCAGGGCAGCTTTAACCCAAACCAATTTGATTTAGAATGGAAATAAATAATAAAACCTCCCCCCCACACCCCCCCCCAAAAAAAAGTGTGAAAGAAACTCAAATCTTTTGTTGTCCTTAGGAAATGACTTGCTTGAAGATTCCCCCTATGAACCAGTTAACAGCAGATTATCAGACATATTCAGGCTAGCACCAATTGTATCAGGTAAGCAGATTTACAATTCTTTAGCTGAAACCTCACTGTAATCCACTTCTTTTAAGTTGGTCTACATGAGTTTTTGAAGTCTGTGAAGTAACGCTGTTTTAGGACTGTGGAGCAATGTGTTTGCTTTCTGGATTTGGGAAATTCGAGGTATAATTAAGGTACTCGAGCAAGTACTATTTTTTTTTTTTGGCTAAGAGTAGATCTGAAGAGGGCTTGTCACAATGATAATTTTGTTCTTGTTTAGTCCGTTCCTGAAAATAAATGCTAAATTTACCTGTAGGTGGCAATCTGATTCCCTGTGTTTGTAATGTACAGTTGCTTGCTTTCGGGAACGTGGTCTGTGCAAGCTACCTCCCATTGACACTAAGGACGATGAGAAAATAATCTCTCAAATCTTGGTATGTGGGTTTGTGTTACATTTTTTACTTTTTTTTTGTTTTGTTTAAAGGAGAGATTTTGGAATTAAGGATTGTTTCTCTTGCCTGAACGGTGCAACTGATTTTTTATTTTTTTTTAAAGAGCTTATTCATGACTTCTCAGCTTTGCTTTGAAGAAATCTTCGCTGTGTGGTTATCTAGACAATTTATGCTATTTATATTATACTGTTTGCTTTTTGAGACTTCGTTCATTTTGGATCACAAATATTTATGGGAACGGTGGATTTTAGGCAGTGTCAAGAAGATACAGGCTGATACTTGCATTCAAATGTAGTTTTCAAAGCAACCTATAAGGATGCAGTCTGTATAAAATACCTGTATGATGTAGTTAAGTGGGATGATATCGGCACTCTGAGTATGTCATAGTACCTCATAATGTATATTACATAAACACACCGGTGTTGTGGTTAACTGTTAATTGCCATGGCAAAGAGACTTCAGAAAAGAAGCCTGAGACCAGAGCAGCAAGAGATTTGATGTGATTGAGATGTTAGAGAGAGCGCCAAAATAATTTAGGAGCTTAAGTCTCATTTACAGCGTGACTTTGGCACTGGGTAAAATTTTCAGAAGTGTTTAAGTGATTTGGGATCCTAAATCTCATTGAAAGTAAAGGGAACTTTGCCTCTTAAATGTCTAGGGCCCTGATCTTTAAAGCCATTCTGGCACCTAAGTATGCAGATCGTTACCTGCTAGTGTTCCAAAAGGACTAACCCTCTTTAATTTTGATGGGACTTTGATTCCTTTGAGCTCCAGAAAAACCCAGAAACTGTTTGTTAGCTTTATAGGTATCTACTTGCATCTAAAAATCTGACCCCAAGTCATTTTTCACGATCAGATTTAGGCTCCACTTTTAAGCACTTTTGAAAATGTTGTCCTTAATCTAGTAGATGGAGAAACACTATGGAGAGGGAAAACATTCCAGAAATCTCTTTAAAAAAATTAAAAAACAGACTGAAAAGTAACACACAGCAGTTTCATCTTCTGGTTGCAAGCCACCCAAGCAGTGCTTTAAAAGGTTATGGTGAATTTCCTTAAAATCAGATTTTGATTTAAGATTGTTGTGTTCTGAATAGAGGTGTCTTTTGATAACGTTTATTTCCCCTTGTTTTTTAGATGTAACATGTTTTGCCAAGATGGTTATTTTTAAAATGTGTTATATTTCGCAGTTGCTACAGCAACAAAGAAATAACTACACTCAATTCAAATAACTGTAATTATTCCAACAATCATTATTTATGATCCTGTGCAGATTGTGACAGATAGCATGCTCTTTGTGCACTCCAAAGTCCCATTGATTTCAATGGAAGTTTTGGGTTTGCAAGAGTTTTGAGATTAGGTCCAGAGGGAGAAGTGAACAGGGTGGAGTTTTGACTAGCTGCATGGCAGATACAAAGAGGAATAAAAGAATTAAATATTTGGAAAAGGTTGAAGAGAAACGTATTTAGGAAAAAACATTCTTGATAAGGTTCTAGGTGTGGTTATATATTAGACCCACTTGAAGTCAAATAGATTTATCTTTGGTGCAGATATCTGCATATATTTAGGATCACAGGACTTATGCAAGCATCTGAAATCCTGAGGGGTTTTTTGTATTTGTATTAACAGAGTTAGCTTTGGGCAGGGTTTTCATATCTATTTTTCTGCCAATCCTGGACGGTGTTTATATTGCATATTGTTAGGGCTGCATGCATCCTCATCAAGACTACAGGGTAATTGAGGGCAGAAATTGGCTCTTGCTTTTAAGAATATAGAGAGTGATCTATCCCATCAGACCCCTCCTGGCATCTACCATCATTGGTTCAGAGATCCCAGAGGATATTTTCCTGACTGTTTTGTTTAATAGCTAGTGGATCTATTGTCCATAAATTTCTCTAGTCCCTTTTTGAACCTGGCTATGCTACCTGCCTCTTCAGCCTTCTGTGGTAATGAGTTCCACAAGTGAACCATATACTACATAAAAAAATACTTTCTTTTGTTAGTCCAATTTCAGTGGGTTTTCCCTAGTTCTAGTATTTTGGGACTTAAGGCTCCTACACACATGCGGGGAGCCTGCTCTGACACGCTGGAAATCCATTGCATCCCGATTAATCGAGTCTGCTGGAGCATGGAACTTGACGAGCTCTGGCAGCCTCCCGCATCGTGTGCATCAGCGCTGCCGCGCGTCTCCACACTGACAAAACGGCGGCATGTGCTTTGAAATATAACACGTCCAATGAGTTTTAATTCAAACCGCACCACCGCTATTTTGTCAGCGTGGAGACATTGATACGCATGACGCGCTGGCACTTTTAATTAGCGCGGCTCGCTAATTAAAGTCTATGGCGCCGTGCCAGGACCACATGTAAAAATGCCCTCAGTGATTAACAGTTGCCTATTCACTTTGTTCACACCCTTCATGATTTTATAGACTTTTGCCCCATAGCCTTTTGCTTTCCAAACTGAAGTCTCATAACCTTTCCAGTTTGCCCAGGCATTACAGCTTCTCCATACCCTTGATCATCTTGGTTGCCTGTCTGGGTACCTTTTCCAATTCTTTTGCATACTTCCTGAGATGCAGAGACCAGAACTAAAATTTATTTTTGTGGTACTAGATAACTTTTGCAGAGTATGCAGTCCAGAACTAGTTTCTTAATAATTTATCAGAAATTATTTTACAGTTATCTATATATCACAGTTATATATCACAGTTATTTTATAACCAATATTACATTTAAAAAAGTATTAAACCTGTCACCAGTAAAAAAAAACAAACAAAAAACAACACATCCCATAATTTACTGTGATCAATTCATGGATTTGTACTACCATGTTCAGATGATTGCCAGTAATGCTATATTTTGTATTTTGCTTTTTAATAAAACTACAAAGAAAGTGTGTATTTAAAAAATACAGAAAGGTTAAAGTGGAGCAGTGTGTTCAGTGTTTGTTTCAGTTGAGATAAATGCATTTTTTCTCCCATATTTAGGTCCTAACTTTCCGTCCTACTAAATATAGCAACCCCATGGTTCAATGGCTTCTTTAAAAGGTGTTCTCCCAAATCTTTGCTTGTTTGAAGTCAAAACCCGCTTATTTTCTAGCCCCAGAACCCAGTGTTCTTGCCTTACAGAAGTTGAAACTGTGCTGAAATCAATTTTGGTGCTGGGCTCACATAGGTTTCCTTTAGAAGTCATATCTGGTTCCTGAGATTCTGTATCTGTGCCATGAAATGCACATTGACTGATTTAGATAGCTTAGTCTATAGTCCTGTTTCAGATTATAGTATATAATTAATTTAAGGGGTTTTGCTGAATGCCCATTTTTGGTTTAGCCAAAAGTTTTGGGAGCTGACAGTGCTTTTGGGACATTTACTTCCTCCAAATTGTAGTGAATATGCAAATCTATTGATTGAATTTTGGAGGTTAGCTTAATGCCCTTAGATCACATGTGAAGCATGGAAGATTTCATTAGTTTCTCAAATGTTTAATCTATTTAAAAATTCAAAGGTTTCAGTTTTACCACTGAAGGAACAGTTTGGCTTCAAACATAAAATATTGAGTAACCTCTCCTCCCTTTAAATTGGTATTTGATATTGTTCCTTACAACTGGAAATACCAACTCTGCACTAAATCTTATAATTTTAGAATTCACTGATGCATTTTAATAGTCATTTCAATAGCATATTGAAATAGAGCATCTCATGTTAAAATTATAGCTACGTGTAGTTGCAGAAATATTTACAAAAGAGATGTTTCTGAAATGTATCATTCACTTCAACACAAAATGGAAAGCTACTAAAGTGGAACAAAATGCTTAAGACCATTTCTGTAAATTAGTATAAAGGGAATATACAGTGGCTAAGAGAAAGTATTACTATTTAGTTACTCTTTTAAGAATGACCCCTTGCTATGTGTGTGTTGCTCTACTTGTGGGTTGAATGGTTTGTCACAAGCTCCTTTTTCCATTATTCAACCTTTTTATGTGTCCTTTACTTCTGGAAGTGATCTCATGTATATAGGACCTTTTATGGCATTGGACGTCTTTACACATGCTCTGGGGGTGGGTTGCTTTAATTAGAGTGGCTCCAGAGAGCTGCTTTAATTAAAGTGCCTGCAGTGTCTTGTGTATTTGGCATCGCATGCTTCAAAATGGACTTTAACTGTGGGCTTTAGAATGGTATTCTTTTTTTAGTCTCTTGAGTCGTCAAACACCTTATTGAAGTTGTGGCTGCGATTCTCACATCAGTATGTCCCTACTAAGAAACAGTGAAGTTGACCATGGAAAACACTTCCCCCAAGACTTTAGATTTCATCAGGAAGAGTACATACAGGAATAACAGACCTTTGGCATCAGCTACCCCCAGAATTGGGTTAGGCAGGTAGAGCAAAAAAGGTACAGTAGTTTCCTTGAAAGACTTGCTGCCAAAAAAGGAAGAGGAAACCAGCTTGATGAATTCCATGGGTCCAAGGGAATAAACTTCCTTTTTCTTTTGTGTTTAAGGGCTGATGGGGTTTTTAGTGCTCAGCTATTCTCTCTCTGTCTCTCTCTCTGTAACATCTTAATTCCTTGCATAAAGAGAGGGGGAGA